CAGAGAATCAAGAATACCTAAAGTTCTGTTGTCACGAGCATTAAATCGAAACACGGTCAGTGCGCGAGGCCTTGTGTTCTTATTGTGGTCTGCTAATGCTTGTTTTGGTTTGTGGTCAGTCGTTTTGACCCACATTTATGATCCTCTATTGGGATGTTGATCCTTTGATATTTGAATTTGAACTGAGCACTTCCATTTGTCATATTGTGGAATTGTTATTTATTGTTTGTAAGTTCTTCTTTATTGTAGTAACTGAGTGAGTGAGTGAGTATGGTTTTACGCCGGTTTTAGCAATATTCCAGCAATATAACGTCGGGGGACACCAGAAATGGGCTTCACACAATGTACCCATGTCGGGAATCGAACTCGGGTCTTTGGCGTGATGAGCTAACGCTTTAACCACCAGGCTACTCGACCGCCCCTTGTAGTAACTGATGTTATTGAATCAATTTTAGTCCTGTTTGATGATGGTATTCTTAATAATCATAATGTATCCGACTATTATGTATAAGGAGAAATCTTTGAAATATATGATTCGCTTATTTCCACATAGTTTGAAACATGACGAGGAATTATGAACGAAGATGATTATATCCGGGACCTTAACTATATTGATATAGTGATTAGAACACCATTGCCACAGTCATATGCATACTCTATATCATTAAAAAACCCATTGCAGACAGAACGGAAACGAACAATCTCTGAACACCTACAAGCTTGAATAGTTGTAGTATTACAATAAAAACACCGGGTGTTTGAGAATAACACTTTTTTTAATTTTTGAGATATGATATATTTCCCGTATAATATGATATTCAATGAAAACCGGCTACAGTACGCTTCTCAGTTCATCTTCCGGTTTAACGAATTATTGTTTTTTAGTTGAAATGTCCTTTTAGTTCCTGAGAGTAATCTTTCGGAAAGTGCGATTATCAGTTCTTAAATAATTCGCACTGTATGGTATAAAGTGACGAATATTGATTGTAAATATTAGGTGTTTTACGCAAGTGTGTCACAAGCTATCCATAAAAGATACGACGTATTTTACGGTGACCAGATTTTCTTGTGAGTTGGTTTTAACGTTGGGTATATTATGAAACAACGTTTTCATTCGGGAGTTTCAGGATCAGTGTGGTTCGCAGTATGGAGTAACGACACAGAAGACAACATTTTATATACAGGTTAATGGAATTTATCAATGACACAGTTCACCAAAATGAGTGAGTGAGTGAGTGAGTATGGTTTTACGCCGCTTTTTACAATATTCAAGCAATATCACGGCGGGGGACAGCAGAAATGGGCTTCACACATTGTACCCATGTCGGGAATCGAACCCGGGTCTTCGGCGTGACGAGCGAACGCTTTAACCACTAGGCTACCCTACCGCCCCTCAAAAATGAACAAACAGCGACATCATCGAATGTTGTCCGTCGCCGAGCACATGCAGATGCGCTCCATGAACTTTTACAATTTGGCGTGGACTTTTTATATTTGTTCGTGTGATGCAACTGTCACTTTCGTGGGTACATTGTCAGTCTGTCAACCAACATGGAAATACACACAATGTTTCTTTTGGGAAGTACGTTAGAGGATTACAACACATAAAAAACATCAGAATCTTTAAAAAATGATTTATAGGAGGGCAACTTTGAAACGCGCCAACATGTTTTCATCCTGGTTCGGTTTCTAAGGAGGAAGTGACTATCAACATTACAACTTGAATAATTCAACAAGAAATACTTGCCAAAATAAATATGATGCGAGAAATAGCAATTACGTTTATTTCGAAGCAAGACAATAATTACTCTTAAATTAATGTATATGTTATGGTTAGGAAGACATTAACATTACTTCCAAAGTTGAGCCTCTATTTTGTGTATAATTTGAAGATATCAAAATGGAAATTTAAAATGATAATTCTTTACAATACTAAAATTTATCATGTTAAAACAAGAAGCAACTGTAGCCAACAAACAGTGGCAAGAGCCGTGTTAGGGAAACGTAAACGTCGAAATTCGTAAGAATTCCTAACGAAAATATAGTATAAGGACTTCCCAATCCTCCATCAATCAACGAAAATACAGAATTTACAAACTCTGTGACATCGACACTTAAATGTTTATCGGCTTCTTTCATCAGATTCAACAAATAGCTGATGGTTCTGACACAATACCTGTTTAACTGTTGTCCAGTGCACCAAAAAACCACCGGCTCCATTGATTTGAACCTGATCTGACCACAGACGTGTTCCAGCGGCTTACAGCAAGTCTCAATAATAAACAAGATAAACCCATAAGCCAACTGTGTTTACCCAGATGATTGGCGAGAGGGAGTGGTTCAACAATCATGGTCCGCAAATTTACTTTATTCATGTCGTGGTTGTCATAAATTTGCATGCATTTCCCTGACCAACGTCTGGACCGAGCTTCAGGCAATATGAGGTTTCAACTGAGGATTAAAAAAGCCTTGTCTGCGATTTGGGATAAATCTGAATAAAGCAACAGAATCAAAGGATCGGTGCGGTGCAACATCGCTTTATGAGACCCACTTCCTTCATGAAATATGACGAATATGCTTTGCTGTAAAGAGCGTGTGTTCTGGTAGTTGGATGAGGGATTTGCGATAGAATCTGATCTCTTAGTTTTGGATATATATATGAAAAAAATAGTTATCTCCTTATTATGTAAATGGGAAGGGACGGATTTCGGGATTTAAAAACAATTTCTTTAAAAATGAGATTTTGGCAGCGCCCATGTCTTCAGAAAGGGGAAACACATTCAAGAATCAGAACATCTACAATTTGTCAACTTGAAAAATACATAAGTTTAAAATGCAAGATACGAAAGTTCAAAGATGAAGTGTATAATTTACTCATCAAGTTTGACGAATATATATATATATATATATATATATATACCTAACAACTCTAATACAGTTATCTTGTCCTGCTTTTTCGACAGATGAAGTGCCACCAATAATAACTTCCTGGTTAACTGAAATTGCCAGGCAGTGACGCCATCAAACAGGCATCACATATATTCACACACATCTATCAACTGTGACAATTACAAATTGTCAGCTCCAAATTGACATGGACAGTCAGCTCCATACATACATCAAATCGACTGAATCTGTTGAATTCAACAGTTGTATGCCGCCTTGTAGAAACGTGTATTGGCTTTGGCTAATTGTGCAACTGTTTATTGTTGGTCGCCTTCTTATGTTGACAAGTCTTTTGCTTTCTGATGTCTTGTTCTACTTGAAGAGTACAAAGGACGCTCCGTCGTGGTTACTATTCCCTTTCATTTTCAAGGTCGCCTCTAAGGTACAAATTGTTTATCTCTGTGTGTCACACTATTATGAAAATAGGAACTGAATTTCCAAAAATGTTCCAGTTGTCGTAGACATTTGCAAATATTCCCGGCACGGCTGATAATTTTCTTCCAAATTGCGTCTACATATTGATATTTGTGACCCTGAGTTATGCGTACATACCATACCGGTCCCTACACCACATTATAATCATTGTCTCTGTCGTTGTCAAACAATTAAAACTAACAGAAAAATAACAAGCGTCAGACTGGGGTCCAGTTATTCGGTTGAAATCTTTCACTTGATAAATGTTATGAGTGTAAATAAGAGAAACTATTCTGGACATAAATTCATACCTTTTAGGAACAATGTGATGCACAGATTGTGTTGTTCATCTGTGATTGGCTTATTGACCTTTTTTTGACGCATTTTACGATTATTTAAGTGTAATTACGTTCTGGCAAAACAAGCAGATGAAGAAGTTTAAACGATAAACGATTGTTAGATTCTTTCGAAAACATGGTATTATTCAAATGGTTTTACGTGTACTTTATATTACTAATACGGATACAGCTACAATAAAACAAAATAACACAATGTTTTAAGCCTACATCTTAAGATGCATGAAACTGGGGCCTGTACCCTACTCTGGATTATACATAAAGATTTGTTCTAAGACATTAAGGGAATGCAAGTATATCGGTTTGACTATTGACTACTTAATGAAACAAAATTAGAAATGCACCACAGAGATTTGTACATTTTCCGTTGACTGATCAGGTGACGCATGAATAGAAAATGATGCATTTATCTTCGCCGAAGGCGTTAATCTGTAATTGTTATAATAATATAAATTCATAATGATTGTTTAATAAATAATAGCACAACAAAATCCATACACTGCATTTGTCAAATGGAAGTTAAGGAAAATGATAATATGAATAATGCATTCATTGATTCTAATTCATAATAGTTGTCACTACTTTCAACCTGCAAACCTATGCAGCTTCAATGAAATTGAAAAAAAGTGTTCATTTCTCAGAAATCATTCTTTAAGTCTCATGTCCTGATAGTAATTATCATACAACATTACACCCAAATATTGTGATAAATGGTTTCACTAGAAGGTTAAGACATAAACAGTTATATGTATACCAACACAAGGAAGTAAAACAGTCTTCCTCGCTAATCATACTATCGTCATCGTGAAATATGTAATCAGGAAATTCTGCAATCACTGCTAGACCCGCCTGTTGATTAATTAAACAAAAAACATTGACATGCAGCGCTTAAACTTCCAGGGATACTTCAAAAGAATTCAAATCGTCGAAAATGCATCCTATGTCTACAAATATTAGATAAAAAAGCATAAAGTTCACTTTTTTCTTATTACATAAATTTACAAAGATTGTATGGTGTTGAACTATATCATGAAATCAAGGTCGTGCTCTGGCTGAACGATGGAAGCCGTAGGACATGCCTAGTGCTGGCTGGAAACAAAGCACGGCTCACAGGGCCCTGTTTACATAGACCTGTTTAGTCAGATGAAGAAACAAATAAAGCCTCAAACACTGGCTTCTAACGGACAGGGAACCGTCGGTTTTTTTATAGGGATAGTGTAATTACCAGCGAGAAGCAGGTATAAAAGGGGCACGGCTTCAGTGGAAGTTACATTTCAGAGTGAGATCTTGGGATAGAGACATTAAGAGCTCTGCGAACTCACTTGACTCGAGGCTTTGGAAATATGGTATACCCTGCCGCTACTAGAAAGGTAGGAAAAGTTTTACATGGACTTAGTCTGCAAGACATTTCAGGTTTATGGTTATTAGAACGTGGACTTCAAAATGTTGAGATTTTGATAAAATGTTATACCCTGGTAATGGAAATGAATGTTGTTATGAAATATTTGTTTACTTCCGATGGGACAAGTAATAATACAATATATTCTTGTCATATCTAGTTTTGCTTATTTCACAGTATCGTTCATATTCTAGTTTGCTCTTTGCGGATTAAGACTGTAATTAAATCTGATGATATATTTTGCACGACTCTAAGAGTTTGAATGAGGTTGCCTGCCTAGTGTTAACTAGTGTAAAGGATTATATACTGCATTCTATTATATATATGATCCTACTTGTCTTTCATAAGTATTTCTTAGCTTTGGAATGAGTCTGCCTGCCTAGTGTTAACTATCTCTGAGAGTTAAATACTGCATGCTTCTATATTTCATTATCCTGTTTGTTTTTCATAATTATTATGACTCCGACGGTTGCATCCATTTTTAGAATTTCTGGTAATATCGGGCTCATGATTCAATTATAAATGATTGTTTATGGTAATTATATGATATATATTGACTTATATGATATATACTTCTGCAGGGATCCATATTGCATAGATGGTTTGATATATACGCATATCAATACTGACTTTCGCACTTTAATGAAATTAAGTAAATCGAGAAATTGCTATATCCAACATTGACGTATGGAATCCTTCACATGTTCCTGTGCATAATTAGATGCTATTGTAGTTTGATGCTATTGTATGCAATCAGGGAAGTATACAATTCAATCGTTTGATGATATTTAATACAGTCTTGGAAATTACACCTGTGTATCGTTAAATGCAAAATAACGCAGTGTCCGAAAAGTATATTTATGAATAGTTCAGTCAAAATCTAGCAAGTGGACCGAAGTACAGTTTGAGGCTGAATAGAAACCCATTAACTTAGATTTAGGTACTATTCATATGCATTAAAGGACAAAATATTGTTATAACTCATCACTGATTCACTTACAAATATACAGACTTAGAGGTCTACATTATAGTTGGAAGATCTTAAGAAATACAAGAGGTACACTATTTTAGAAATAGTTGATTTACGTTCGAAGCAGATTCATGACAGGAAAAGGCCACATGAATGTGCATATTGGCATCTTTGAAATGTCAGGACTCATTTGAAAACTATATCTTAAACGGTTACATGCAATTACATGAAGAACGAAATGCATATAGGATTGCATATAGACGTCGATCAATCTAGGGCTGTGGAATATCACAGGTGTTTCAGTTTCAGTTAGCAGGCTGGACGGCATGATATCTTAACGTAGATTGAGCATGCAGTCAGTGAGTCAGCGCTGCCGTTTACCTCATTCTGCCATAAGAAACTTTTGCATGGATCTGCTGTCTTACTCACTCAAACGTTTAAAGTATTTATCAAAGAAATTTGTTTTTACTAACATTTCACGTGTAGACATGTCAAGGATTTGCCAAATAACCTCAGTACGACAAGCGCTATTGTTTTGTCAATGTATAGTTGACTGGAACACAGATTAGAGAACAACAATATCGAAAAAATGCAACAGGGAATAGTTTGTAAAACTCGATTGTTTTTTGTGTGTATAAGCTGATTGAAACACAGCTGAATATCTGCATATTTCCATATGGTATATTTTCAAATAAAAGACACGAACAAGCAGTAATCTTCTTATATAACTGATGTTTTGTGTGGCTAGATACTAAAACATCCTTGATATACTAAGATCAGGTTTCATGTTAGTGCACCTCAGTTGATTTTTCTCCTTTTATTGTATGAGAAGAACACTATTTGAGTTAATCACTGACCTTTTTTAACATTTCTTAACATTCAGATGAAATGAGCAAATACTCTTTACTAAAAAAGACGGGGTTAAGTCATTCAACATAACACGTTAAACGTTAAACTGTGGATTTTTGTGTATGTGAAAGTTGGACTGCGTATTTGAACCTTAAACATATATTTATCTTTAAATTCTGTAACAAGCAGTCAAAGAATGCAAGCTATTCTGAAGTTAAAAACCTATACCCAGAGACAGACGGACTCATTCATTGTCGAGAAATCGCCTTTTGATCGGTCTTGGGAAAGACGGTAATCCTTCTAGACTTTAGAAACCCGATGTGATCCTCTGGTTTAAAAAAAGCTACTGAGCGATGAGTGTAAGCCTGGAACGTACAGGTTAACATACGTTACGGCACTTTTATCCATCCTGGCTTTCGGACTACACCTAGGGCAGGAGAAACCCAGAAGTAAATATGTTCGCTTGTAAACTTGTTTACTAATTAATTAAAACCTGATAGCACAACAAGGCCGTAGGCGGGGGCCTATATTTCAACGTCCAATGTGGCTGACATCGCATGGCGTGTCAATAACGCGTCAAACAAGTTGTGTTTGACCAACATATTTGACAGTTGAAGCAGGAAAGTATTGCCCAGTTTCGTCCCGAAGGCAGCTGCAGCCAATACGAGGCTTGAAAAAACAAACGTTTGTTTAGCTAGGCAAACCTGTACTTCCTTGATGGTTAAAACGTTTTCGACTCATTTCATCTTTCACTGTCTTGCTTTGAAGATGTTGCTGGCTACGCTGCTGATGGTGCTGTTGGCACATCATGTCACCTCCAAACCCCTTGATGTGTCAGCGAGAATTACCACGCTGCTCAACGAGAACATTTCCAATTCCTTACAAGGTAAGACACACTAACTGGTTATATCATTCAGCCTTACTTTTATGATCATGACTTAGAAGTATTGAGATGTTTGTAATTAACTTAGAATATTTTTTGTTTGGCCAAGACTAGAATATGTAAAAGATGCCGTATTGTAGCTCGAATATTGCTGACTGTGGTGTAAAACAGCATTCACTCACTATTTCACGACCTTAAACTCTCTTTATTCAGTGATGTTAAATTCTCTTTTTCTCCCCTAATCTTAATATCGCTATAACTGTTGGTTCATATGATTCTACAGATAAAGCAGAGGCTATCGACACTATCCTGAAACTCCTTGCTGAAATTGACCTTCCCGCTATCTGTGAAGCCGTTATGGGAGAGAGAAATGGCGACGTTACCCAGATGGACAACATCATTGCCCAAGCCGCCAAGGAACAAGGCTTCCCTCATATGATGACCACTAAACTACAAAACGCTGATGCCATCCCATTCCCTGGTAATTATAGGAGATTATTCCACCGATAGATACTATTATGATTAAAAGAATTTCTCTCTCTTCGTATGTCAAGGATATATTCTCTTTCCAATTTGAGCTTAACTTGAAATGTTTTCAATCTTCTGTTGTAAGTTGAAAATAATATCCTTGAGTTTGTGTCACTGGACATGTTCCTCTGGAGAACATCATATATGTGCTCATAGGGTCGCTCTTAGAGAACTATTAATAGGTCCAAAGTCAACCAAAGCAAAAAATCGAATTATCGTAATTATGTGTTGCAGTTAATTTCCCCATGAAGTCCGAGGACATTCTCCCCGCTGACTTTCCTCTCAAGTCAAAGGATATTCTCAAGCCTGTGAAAGAACAAGCTGCTACAAGCGCCTTCACTGAACCCACCTCAACAGAATCCCCATCCATATCGACTGACCCATCAACCCATGTGATAATCCAGAGTGTTCAGTCCCTGAAGCCTAACGTCTCTCTCTCCGCTGAAGCTAGACGGATGAACAGCCAGGAGATTAAAAGAGTCGAAAGACCAGAACTTGTTGGATTCAAACTTGCCCCATCTGAGCATTACAGGAAGGAACTGGAAGGCGAAACTGAAAAAACTGAAGGAAAAGTCTCAGGTACGATGGAAACTGTACAGTCAATTGTTGAAGGATCAACATACATGACTTTGGCAGATGAGGCTGTCACTACTGAACCCACTCCAGATGACGTAGATACGAACACTACTGATGCTACAGAAATGAATACCACAACAGCCACATGGGCGTCATCCACATCTTCTCCTACATCTACAGAGGCATCAACCCCTGCTGCAACTTCAACCGAATCTGATGTTTCAACTTCGTCCGTCTTTTCAACGTTTTCTACTGCTGAAATAGAAACCACCACATCCAACGAGATTATTGAAGATGTAGTGAATGATACCATTTCAAATATATCCTCGGTAGAGACAGCAGCTGCATCACGGAACGTTTCTCTACCAGAATCCAGTGCCGAGGAGGTCACCAATGAAACCCAAGTCATGAATGCTACAACCACAAGTGAATTCAACAGCACTAATGAACTGGAAACAACCTCAGATAACATCACTGCATACCAGCCATTAAATGCCACAGCTGCTGACGAGATACTGTCAGATAATTCTTCTTCATCTGTAAATGAATCTGCTTCCTCATATGAACAGACAACCGAGAAAAGCCCCAATACCACCATCGCTGTCAATACAACTGAAGAAAAGGCAGAGGAACAGCAGACGACAACAGCAGTGACAACAGAGACAACATCAAACATGACTGAAAGCTACGAAACCAATGCCACTACGACCACAACAACGACTGAGGCTACAACTATCGTCACTAATGCTACTTATGACGCTCGTAATACAACCGATGCCTTCACAGTATTGGAAACTTCAGAAAATATCACAGAGACTGATTCCGATGCCCAGGCGATTCCAGCTGAACTGCCAAATACAGAACCAACCAGCACCCTTGACTATTTCTGGACTCCGGGAAAGACCATCCCGATGACTGACAGCCTGTATGAATATGATGACTCAACTGATGACGCCTCGTCTTTCCACGTGAGCACATCCTCAGATTATGTTCAAGAAGAAGCTGCTGACAACACCAACACGACAGTGAACAAGACGTTCGACATTACAATGGAAACAACACCCGAGGTCTCCACTGAAGCCTACCCAGCAACACCCTCAGAATACGACTATGTTTACAACCTTGAAGATCTGACTGGCACCAACAAACACGATTCTGCCTATAATAGATATGAAGACGCAGGTCAGTACGGTGCATATGATGCCAACAACGTCGATTACGCTACCGGGGAAATGACAGACTATGGTATGGATTCTCTGAAAACAAACCCAAGATTCCTTGCCGGGGATCATTTCAACGACGCAAGTAAACACCAGGGGCAGAACATGCTCGCCAGTGCTGACAGCCCAGCCAATACCGCCGCTACACAAGACTTTATGTTGTCGGCCCAGCCAGGATATTACAATTCACTGGCTGACCAGACATCATGGTCAGACAACAAGTTTCAACACAACTCTGTAGATGGTAAAGACTTTGACAAGAGTTTCACTGCTGCTGATAGGAAAACAGTTGCTGTCCCAAGCCTTACCGACGGTCCAAATAGTCTGGCTGCATCCGTCGGTGTCAGACAAAAGACTGTTTGGTCCGAGCCGACTCTACCACAGATATTCTACCAACCAAATGGTAAGCTGCGATCATTTCGCTCTGTATCAGCTTGCTTTGGCGTTGCTGTAAATAATTTCTTAAAAAGGATTAATAATCAAGGACAGGTATGAAAACTACTCGAGGGTGAGATGATATTATACAGATGTCTTTTTAGCTATTAGTACATTATAAATTATGAATAAAAAAGAATCAGGAATACTGTTGTCAATGATGCAGCACGTGATCTACTAGGCTTGATGCTTGACGAAAACTACAGAAAAATATCAATGCTTTTGTTATGCTTAATGCCTGTTTTATTTTCATGTAGACATATATGGAGGTAAGTGAGTTATGTGCATTATAACCTGACGTAGTTGTTGTCAGTCGTCAAATATAATTCAAACTGTAAATGCAACTGAACGAAAGTTTTGATTTTAAGTTTTAAACGTTTTGTTAAGTGAACATTAATTTAAACTTAAATCACAACATTGTTCTGTCCTTATCCATTATGCAATTGAAAGATAATATTAAGAGCAATATTTTTAAACTAGTTATCAAGCGTTCGTCGAATGCGGTCCAGAAATGACGTCGTTATTTAATATCTTCTTACAGGATACGCATGCCCCGGATTGTTTGGCTACTATGCAGATGCTGATGACTGTCAAGCGTTCTTCATCTGCAGTTGGGGGGTACCCTACAGGTTCCTCTGTCCGAAAGCCACTCTGTGGAACTCTATTGAGAGTGTCTGTGATTGGAGCAATAACGTCAATTGCAGCAGACAGAAATAAGCAGTGAAACAGAAATTGATATTAACCGAGAACTTCTATTGTTAACAAAGTATTATATCGAAAAGACGATGTCTCAGGACGAAGAGTAGTCTCCCCTTCGTGACTTCCCTGCACACCGGGAACATTCAAGTCGATGAAGCTTTCGTGCCACGTCCATCTGAACAGAGAACTGTGTGGGAGTGATTAATGTTATATGAGAATGCAGTGTTTATACACTCTGATCTGATATAGTGATGGTTACATAAGGAGATGATAATTCTTAATAGTACTACTGTAACCCAAAGCACGTTCCCTTAAAGGTGTTTCGTACGTTTCGATATGAGTATGAAAGATATTTTCTCTCGACCTATGTTATTTATACACTTCCAAAATGTAATAAGGGTTATTTAGGCAATAGAGACAAACTCGTTGGTTCAGTACCAGAAAGCACATGTCTTAGTTTAAATATATCAGGGTAATTCGAAGATTTCTCTCTGAAATTGGGGCGATGGGGTAACCTTGTGGTTAAAGCGTTCGCTCGTCACGCCGAAGAAATAACCATTGAAGAATATTTGCCGTCTCATAGTTCATTCTCAAATAGTTCAATATCTATATCGGCGTTGTTTTATGTTTGTATGTTATTATATATTCATTGAATTTGAAATATTTATGTACATAGAGAGAATATTATGAAAGTGTACATAGCCCTCGTTTTATACATTTATAAATATTTTTATACCGATTTGAATACTCTTACATTTGCTTTGTATATGTGCAAATTTTGCTCAAATAAATGTAAATGTGATTTAAATATTTCTTGTTACGTTTGACTTCACCTTATTAAAATTAGCATTTCAGTTTTGACAAATTCTTGGCATCACATGACGTCATGTATAATACAGTGACATCACTTTTAAATACAGCGTCAGCAAACAATAGATGATGGCATCTTCTCTGCAAAGCAAATACTCCATCGCATGTAAATGAAATTTAGTATTTCCAATCATGTGTCCTCCGTGACGTCAAACAATTTAACGTTTATCCGGTACGAACAAAGTCATTCTCTTGAAACATTCACAGTTTGATGAGTACATTCCTGAAATGGTCACCTGTACATGTATCTCTTACATAGGACATCTTATGTGGTAAATAACGTCAACGCCAGAGAATAATCAGTCACGATAATCTGTTGAAACAGATTCCATTAGGCGTAATAGGCAAAATAGTGGTGAAAATTATATGAATGGATCACCAAAAATCAGTGATGACCCCTGGTGTTCGCAAAGGAGGGAAACACGTCCCTGCTCTACCGGCACACCACATTATATTCATAAAAGTGTAAGTTTTTTTCCCATAACGTTGCCCAGCAGTTCTCCTGCCACACAACGACAGCATGTAAAGAAACGAGTCTTGACAATGACCAGTGACAGTAACCTGACAACCCAGTGACACGATAGCGCATTTATTGAGATCTTGCAAAATATATTCTACGAAACCTACACATACATTGCATCCTTCAAACACATATACACTTCCAAGCTAAACTACGGGAACGATTTTTGTTTTGTGCTAAATATTCCTGAATATACTATTCTGTAGTTTTACAACACGTTCACCACATATCCACGAATACAACACGCATTGGTAGATTGATTTGTACTTGTAACAGGCAACATTCCTCCAAATCATTTAACAACAGTAAACAAAGAGCTGTCGGTGTAAATCGTTTTCACGATTCGGTTTTGGAAATTGAGTTGTTTTTCGTCACCACAAGGACCTCGGCAGGTTAGGCATCTCGTCCTGAGTGTGATAGTTCATCATGTAATAAGAAGGATGCTCAGAATGAGCACGTGTAACAGTGTCAATGCAGTTTGAAACACGCTGTATTTACTGGCTTGAGGGAACTTGAGATGAACTTACATGGAATAACGGATCATATAAAAAGAAAATCATCGATCCCTTATTGAGTGTCGGTGGTATATATGAAACTGCATGAACATAATTACAAATAAAACAAATATTTTAATATTGAACAGCAGTCTTCTTGTGCTGACATGATGTATGATGAACTCCTCCCAAATACACGTGAGCCAATTCGAGTTTTCGTGAACATTTTGTTTATTCGTTGACACAGAATATCTTCATGTATCTTCTTGATGTGTCGTATTTCTGGGGTTCTTCATATTTGTAAGCTATCCTGCATACCTCCTAAGGCTAGGAGACTTTAAAGATCAATTTGAAGACCTTCTTCTCCAATATGACATGCCATGTTTGTTGTTATATGTGTTTATTTACGCCATCTTTTTTTTCTGATCTGCAAGACTGATAATATTTGTCAGTCAATGAAATGTCACTGAAGTCCCCCGAATGACACAGATGACACAAGGGCCATTGATGTCGTGTAATCACACATTATATAATGTTGACTCGGGCTTTGCTCGATGAAATAAACATCATATTTGTCAAAGTGCATGAACTATCATATTGACGTTAACAACTCAGGAAAACTTGTTTTAAAATTTGTTTTAAACTCACCCACCTAATATATACCTATGGCTCCTTCAGGATCTATTGGTGACCAAACAAACAACAGGAGACCTTCACCCAAAGTTTCCCATGTATAATTGACCAGTAAATGTTATCAAACTTTTCATGTTTTATCTGTAACCATATCACCACTTAAAATCATAAATAGGTGCAGGATAAGCAACAAGCCACCATCGTTATCAAATCTTATGAAGGAAGTAATGTACAAGTGCAGTTAATGTTCCACGTGTAACACATGTGAGATCCAGCACATCGAATGTATGAAGAGAGCCTTTGAAACCTATAGTGAACACTTTTTTACTAATTGTCAGAAACCAGAAGTCTAAAATGAAAATGAAAACAAAAAAAATTATGCTGTTCAATATATGTTATAGTTGATGATTGGGAGTTATAATCATTATAATTCTGTATTCACGAGTATTCACGAACACAGGCTTTAATTACTTAAATAATCAAAAAAATTAATTGCACAGGTGATACTTTAAGTAATAGTTTTTGATGATTCATTGTGGCTTTAAAGGAATTCTATTCTACACTTTTAATTTTCCTGAACTCTAATGAAAATATAGCTTTTAATACATACGCCCCAAAGAGTGCAACAGACACACAAATAATGAAAAACATGCTTGATTAAAAGAGCCGGTCAGCCCAAAATATCACCATCTTAATGCATGTTCCGCAATCAAAGGGTCTCATTTAGAGAAGGAAATCAATGTTAAACAAACGAAAAGTTCAGATTAAGTGTTTATATTTTGTCGAAATAGCCTGTTATTCAACCTGCTGTTGACAAAAGGTGTACCCCAATACTGCTTTGAATTCAGGTGTCAGCAGAAGAATATTGACTCCTTGAACGGTTCTTTCATCCAAATGCCTGCCATTGCTTCGTGTGCACGTTGCGGCGTTGCAATCCACTGTTGTCGAAACGACGACAGAAGCAAATATTGTGGAGAATCACCCGACGCAGTTTACAGTTAATGCGCTGTCATACTTCTGAAACCTTTCTCAAATGTTAAATATTATGTTCAGCTAATTTTGGTATTTTCGCTTCAGCACGTTTCCGACATGAACAAAATAATGTGAACAGAATTTGAATGTTTTCATGATAGATTTGGGGGTCTCCAGGCACAGGGCGAGGCTCTGTTGAAAGTCTGCCTTTTGTTTCAATGCATGAACATTATAACAAGTTGTTTGTATGTGTGAGTGAGTGAGTGAGTGAGTGAGTGAGTGAGTGAGTGAGTGAGTGAGTGAGTGTATGAATGTATGTCAAGTGTATCTATGACTATTGATATTGAGTCAAGAAAAAACATATAAATGCTTGTAATATTAACCGTCATATCTTGATTTTCAACTGTATAGTTTCATTCAGTGTGATATATCAAAGCATTGATTTGGGATGAGTATAAACAATATGTGATATTCAACCTCAAAACTGTTCAAAGAAGAGTATTAGTGTTTGAATCAGGAAGATAATGAGTATTTGACCCGGTACCTTTCTGCAGATAGCTCAGCATTATACAGACACACATGAACAATTCACAGACACACATGAAAAATTCATTCATTCCATTGCTATGATTTTGTACACATACATTTCCACTGTTAATTCTTTCTCATTGGCACAACATAGAACATTGCTTTATATTATCGATTGCCAGGTCGATTGTCTATTGCTAATCACCTATCAGCGCCAATCATCAGTTGGCTTCCTTTGTTAGCTTCTACCCTTTGTTATTTTCCACCTTTTGTTATCTTATTAATTTTGTTGTCCTTACATGTACATATATATGCTCTCTATCTCATGGCATTCATTCACCTGATGAAGGAGTAACCATATACTCCGAAACGTTGTGTTCCTCATGATAAAGACGTTGACATCCATATATTCTCTACCTTAGGTCGATTGTTGTCTTTTTTCGGTTTTAGAACGTAAATGGTGTAACGGTAATGATCTACATACTGATTCATCTACATCATCGTTATATATTTTATCAACAAGAACATGATATGTAAATTCAAGCGATCAACTAATATTGGACATTATAATATGTACCAGTTCAACACTCCTTTGATTATTGATAAAATGGAGCACAGCTGCATAATCTTGGACATAAATCTCTACACAGCCTCCAACTGCCAATACAATTTGGTTGAATAGAATTGACATACTGTAGCCGTTCAGGCAAATTAAGGGACAAAACAAATTTCCATAATCATAAGAAAACTCTATAAGAGCCATTGTACGATTCCGACCGTGTCCTTAGCATGTGTCTGTGAATCAGAATCAAACAGTGATGATACCACGTGTTCGCGAAAAAGCACCAACATATATGATAGTACAGACGAACACACTGCTTATATTATGATAAATACCCATGTAATTAAAGGGGTACAGCAGAGACAAATATATTTATATTGTATTACTTTAAGAATATGGGAAGTTGACATCTGTACAGAGGCGTGTTGTATCAAGGAAATTGAAAAAACACCACCAACATTTTACTTTTTGGGGTATATTTCAGTTGTCATGAGTGTCAATTTCTGTTTATAGGAAGACCAGACTTATAATTCAATGTCATAAGCATATCATATATGGAATTATGTTCTGTATATTGACAATGCTACCTTGATGGTAACAACAGATTTAACTACAGTATAAGGACCTCATATATGTCAAGGATACAACGAAGCCCTGTTAATTCGTAAGCTACTGTTCCAGGTCAAATCGCACAGATTAATAAGTTTCCTGATAACCGCATCATTGCGATTTAAAAAAAATGTCCTTTTATTACATATAGACATTCATAACGGTGAACGGCGTTACCAGATCAATGGTGTCTGGACAAAGAGGTTTTATTGCATCTGCTCTGATGTCCCGTTACTCAAGACAAACAGGAGTCGGTGTCTGGAGTGCACTCTTACTCAGTCTCAAACCATATCATTTTACCTTTCGCTCAGCCCTTAATATAATCTTATAGCCCTGAATGAAGCAAGTTTAGATTTTCAAAAGTTTCTGAACTCCCATCTCGTTGGGGTTCCTTTTCAATAAAAAAAATGCAACTCTGATGTCCCCAGCAGCGAACTGGACCATCATAAAAACCTTTTCTTCCCTCAATAGCTACCCGGCCAACCTAGTCTCCAAAACCATCCGCAATTCCCTCAAGAACACCGAACCCAGATCCAAACCTGTCCCATCGAATCACTATATCCAACCAAGGCCCTGCCACTCGTCAAATGTTCACTTGA